TCCAAATCAACAAAATCAGAGATGAAAGGGGAAACATCACAACAGACACCAGAAAGATACAGAACATTATAAGGGAATACTTTAAAAACCTATATGCTACTAAATTTGAAAACCTAAAAGAAATGGATGCATATCTAAAGGCATGGGAACCACCAAAACTAAACCAAGAAGAGATTAACAGCTTAAACAGACCCACAGTTAACCAAAAGAAAGAAAGAGCACCTCCAAATCAACAAAATCAGAGATGAAAGGGGAAACATCACAACAGACACCAGAAAGATACAGAACATTATAAGGGAATACTTTAAAAACCTACATGCTACTAAATTTGAAAACCTAAAAGAAATGTGGACAGATATCTAAAGGTATGGGAACCACCAAAACTAAGCCAAGAAGAGAGTAACAGCTTACACAGACCCATAACACTAAAAGAAACTGAAACAGTAATACAAAACCTCCCGACTAAATAAAGCCCAAGACCAGATGGATTGACGGCAGAATTCTATCAGACATTCAAAGAAGATCTATGTCTAATACTACTTAATTTATTCAAAAAGATAGAAATGGAGGGATAACTTCCAAATTACTTCTATGAAGCCAGCATCACTTTAATACCAAAGCCAGGTAAAGATACAACCCAAACAGAAAACTATAGACCCATATCCTTAATGAACATATATGTAAAAATTCTCAACAAAACACTTGAAGACTGCATACAGCACATATCAAAAAGGTCATTCACCATGATGAAGTCAGCTTTATTCCAGAGATGCAGGGATGGTTCTATATACATAAGTCAATAAACGTCATAAATCATATAAATGGGCTCAAAGACAAGAGCCTCATGGTCATCTCAATAAGAGAAGGCCTTTGACAAAATTTAGTATGCTTTTATGTTTAAAGTTCTAGAGAAAATTGGACTGGAGGGAACATACCTCAACATAATTAAAGCCATATATAACAAACCCACAGCCAACATCATTCTAAATGGAGAAAAACTGGAAGCATTCCCATTGAAATCAGGAACCAGACAAGGCTGCCCACTATCCCCATTTCTCTTTAACATAGTCCTTGAAACTTTTGCAAGAGCAATAAGACAAGAGCAGGAAATTAAAGGAGTAATAATTGGAAAAGAAGAGATCAAATTATCCCTTTTTGAAGGTGATAGGATATTATATATAAGAGACACCAAAAATTCCACCAGAAAACTCCTAGTAATTATTAAGAAGTTCAGTAAAGTGGCAGATCACAAAATTAACCTACAAAAGTCTGTAGCCTTTCTATATACCAATAACAAGCAATTAGAGAAAGAGCACATGGACACACTCCCCTTCACAATAGCTGCAAAAAAATATCTAGGAATAAACTTGACCAAAGACATTAAAGAGCTCTACAGTGAAAATTTTAAATCCTTAAAGAAAGAGATTGAGGAAGACATCAGAAGAAGGAAGGACTTCCCATGCTCATGGATTGGAAGAATTAAAATCATGAAAATGACCATCCTACCAAAAGTCATATATAGATTCACACAATGCCAATAAAAATCCCCATGATGACAGTTTTCACAGAATTAGAAAAACCATCCTATGATTCATATGGAAGTACAAATACCTCAGGTAGCCAAAACAACCCTGAGCACAAAGAGCAATGCTGAGGGGATTACTATATCAGATTTTAAGCTGTATTACAGAGCTATAGTCATAAAAACAACATGGTACTGGCACAAAAATAGACCCATAGATCAATGGAACAAAACTGAAGATCCAAATATGAGTAATTGCAATTTCAGCCACCTGATATTTGACAAATGGGCCGAGAATATCCACTGGAGGAAAGACAGCATGTTCAGCAAATGGTGCTGGCAAAACTGGATCTCCACCCACAGAAGAATGAAACTAAACCCCTACCTTTCACCTTGCACCAAAGTCAATTCCAAATGGATCAAAGACCTCAATGTAAAGCCCGAAACTCTGAAACTGTTAGAAGAGAACATTGGCCTACA